TTTTTTGTTAACTTGAGAATGTTTGTAACCGCTTCAAATCAACTTTTGAGTGATATCCAAACTCTCTATTTTTATTTTTCAGTGAATTTTATCTTTGCTTAGAAAGTTTTGTAAGTGGTTCACATCCGGTTACTTCTATGTAAATACCATAAAGCTGATGCTGAGTGTTTGCTAGCGTCAAGTGACTCATTTGAACAAACACACTTTACCAGTAAAGCTAACACAGTGGAGAAGGGTCCGTCTCGACGACACAAAATCAAATGATTTTTTACAGAGGTGCAGCTAAAACCTCATCACAAACCATACGAAATGAGACGTGGATGGGGAGAAGTCTTGGATAAGTTCGCGCAATCAGAATCAGAGAGTAGGAAAAAGAGTGACGAGCCTGTGTTGTATTTCCGTAGAAACGTGCAACTTTCTGAAGCTAAAGAGCAACGGGTAATTTTTCATATAAAATATATTTCTGATGTTTACCTACCCATTTTTGTCCAGATTGTGACCTTCTGTTCGCGAGCTCTGGAAATGCTACTTACGGATGCGCGCTCGTCGCTTTTTCTTGACCGTTGTCCTATGCCACCTGAATGCGCAGCTGAACTGGCCGGCCTCGGATTTACGATGGAGGATGGTGCTTTTGATGCGAGAGTGCATACTGTGGATTGGATTAGAATACATCTGGAGGATCAGCTTCCTAGTCGAATGGCTGATATTATCCGTGGACCTATGCTCCTGGGAAAAGCACTGAGTGGATTCAAGTAAGTTTCAGAGTTTAAGTGATTTTTATTATTTCTAATCTTTCAGCGAGCTCGAAACTCTTGTCGTTAAATCATGGAAGAAAGGAAGTGATATACTGCGAGTCAATGGTTTAGATGAAGTTCGCAGGCACTATCTGACAAAACTACGAGAATCCACGCCTTGTTATGGGTAAGTTGTTCTGCTCAATAAGATGAATCCTACTGTGTTATCTGCCCTTGTGCGTTGGATAGATTTTGTACATATATAAATTCGAAAGCTTAGCTATGTGTGCAAAAACTGTTTGACTTATGGATTCTTCAAACCTCTGAGTCTTTGCAGCAATTCTTTCTATTTTCAGCGCTGCGTTCTTCCGAGGCCTAATTGAGCGACCGGGTATTAATCCTCTCAACATCAAAAAAGTTTTCAATCTGTTGTTGAGTGGAGCCCCAGACACTGAGGTGATTTTTTTTTGTTTTGTTTTGCATTTTATGATTTAAACTAAGCAGCTTCAGGTGCTTGTCGGTGTCAATAACGAATTTGTAACCATAATCGATGCTGCTAAGCATGACCTTCTGCTCGTCCAGAAAATACGCGATTGCTCTTGGAGAAAGTTGATATAGTCAGTTTTTAAACTGTTAACTCGTTTTTTAGTGATGACCAATCCTGAGTCCTTTAATCGTGTTTTCGCTTCAGCTCACCGGAAGAAATTCGAAAAGGACACCAACACCTGCTTTTCTTGTCGTTCCCAGATGATGATTACCTCAAGTCTCGCAACGAGTTTATATGTGGAAAAGCTGAGCAGCTGACTTGTATGAAAATGAATATCCTGCATGTAAGCTGGCCTTGGATTTGTGATCGAACAACCTTGAATAATCATATTTTAGATTTTCTCAAGTCAAGCAATGCTTCTGAATGCTATGCTAAACTCTGTGAAAACTAGCATCAAAGACGATGACATCATCATAGACGAGGTGAGCGTTTTTGGAAAAGATTTCTCAATTTGATATTGAATGTCCACATCACTAGCATTCAAGAATTTGAAGATGGAGAGAAAATTATTCCTTTAACACTGAGTTATATGGCGCTCACAAACTCTTTGGGCCATGGACATACTTCCCGCGGTTTCAGTCGCAACGCGATTTGGCAATGCTCCAATTGTCTTTATTTGATCGTGAGCGCATCCTAGATGTACGGATCGGGCGCATCCTAGATGGTCGGGCGTTTCATCAGTCCAAGGAAATTATACACACTATGCATTTGCAGTCTTTCAGTGTTGAATCTGTAGAATCCTGGCAAACTGCCAGATCGCGTTGCAATTGAAATCGCTTGAAGTATGCTCAGAGCTTTGCACGTTCATGTGTTCTTGTTCTTTAATGTGATGACGCACGAGTTTCGTAAAACCTGAGTAAGATTGCGGAAGGTACAGTTCCAGCAGAGGTAAACATTACTGGAGGTCTAAAGTGCAAGTAGACTTTACGTGGACAAGGTTGATGGTCCAGTTGCGAAATCTATTTGTTTAGTCACCTAGTGCTGAAGATTCTGAATACTTCCAAATCATTTGATAGGGAACTTGGTGTGTGTGGAATGGAAGTAGCGCAACAATACGGGGAGTACTGCTGGTCACTATATTATTTCTTTTCAGACTGTTATCGAGCAGTCGACGCCCTCAACCGGCTACCCCGTCGCTGGTCGTGCAACCGTTGCTCGAACGCCGTCGTTGTCCAAGTGCCACCGCATGTGTTTAGCAAGTTTTGAGGATGGTAGATTTGTGAAAGCTAAGGGTAGCTACAAGAAGGTAAACTGGGATACTGTCCAGCGACAAGGCATCGAAGTTGTACTGTAGAAAATAACGTTTGTATGCTTCGGCGCTGTATGGAACGCTAATTTGTATTGTATATCGAATTCGCGTTTCTGGATCTCTAATTCACCAAAGGAGAGTCAGGAGCTCGATTTATTTTTT